TGAAATCTTCCTGCAATCCAGTAAATAAGAAATGCACTCCAGCTGCCAACCGGAAACTGCTCTGGCATGGGTGTTATTCACCAACCCTCTCTGCCAGTCAGTGAAAGGCATCTGTCCCTCTGGCACTTACCTCAGTTAAACCAAGGCGAGGACATTGGAAATTGACCTGCAGCAAGTTCCCAACGAAAGGGAAGGAGACAGGACCCGGGGGATAGTTGTTCCATCTCTTTCTGCGCTTCATATGATCGAAAAGCAGGATAAAGACAGCAAAAGAGAGGCCAAGTGTTGTGAAGCTGTTCCAGAAGGATGGGAGCTGGGACCCGAGCCAGGAGAGCAGTTCCATTGTGTCTCTCCCACCTCACTCTGTCCCCCAATAAGTTTTTCCCTTTCCCCTCAACACTTTCCCTCTGCCTGTTTCACCTTCTCCCAGTCTGTCTTTCTGTTTTTTTCTCCTACTTTCCCTCTCTCACTCCCCCATCCCTCTCTTCCTTTCCCTCTGTTTTTGTATCTATTTCTCTAGCTATGCTATTCTATTCACACCCTCTCTTCTAATAACGAAGTTCCATAAGTCTACACAGGACTTTACAAATAGCAAAGTGCCGGGCTGTGTAGTTATTGTTTCTCTTCAGCTCCTCCCCAGACCTCATAGGAGTGGTGATGAAGGTGTGCCTGTCCCCATTTTACACAAGCCATAATTCTACACAAAATTGTAGGAGGAGTCACCACTGGGGGCCAATCTCTTGATAGTTGGAGCCAAAAAATGTACTGGTGAGGACTCTTGATACCGTCCCACTCTCCCCACTGCTCCACTTCAGCAATAGAATTATAGCAGGCAAATTAGCTAAAAAGGAAGAGGTTTGATTGGTTTTGTTACCTCTGACATCACTGTCTAGTTGTTTTTTTTTTTAATATATATGGCTGCTCATCCCTGTGGTATCTAACCATCACAGTGGCACTACTTAAGAAGGATCTGAGTTATCCATGACTGAAATTATAACAATTAGACATCAATCATTAATAAATTAACTTAATTACAATCTAATTTCTTCAAAATCGTTTATGCACATGTTTTTCTAGGAGGTTTAACCACCTAGAAATGTCTGTCTTACTCTGTTATTGTGATCGTTCAGTCAAAGAAAAGATGAGCCAAGTGCTGCCTTTCTTAAAAACTCACTTTTAATTGATTTTAACGCTAACTAATTAACAATTTGACTTGTAAAAACTCAGAGAAGTCAGTCAGTACGGTAAGCCCTGTGGCCTGAAGCCTAGGGAAGAAGGAAGGTAACAGAGTCAGCTCTCTGCTGTCATCTGCTGGAGACCAAGAGGCGTGGACTGAGCAAGGCAGCACCACATTTACATATTAACTTCAGATAATTTGGGGACATAGGGGTATAATTTGGCTGAGATTTGTACTGGCGGCCCATATTTTTGAGATTACCCTGGTGGGAGCCATCTAGGCAAAGCCTGAACAATGACTGAGTACAGGGTCACCCTGAAGAAGACTGATGTTTGCCAAGGTCGGGTAAGAGTCCTTGGACAGTAGGAGCCCAAGTTCCAGAAAAAAGAGAAATTATCTGTTCTTGTTTAATTGCTGGGAATGCTTTCGTAGGGGGTAAGAACTCTTATGGGACTGTTAGATCACTGATTCCCTGGTACCTTAACAAAACAAAACAAAAAACAAAATCTGAGCTGAAAGAGACAGTTGCCTGATATGGGCAGAGCTCAGCGGTGGTTCTTGGAATGCTAACTGAGCCTTTAAACAACAAAAAATAAAATACACAAATAAACCTTTCCACCTTGAAGTGCCTTATGCACCTAAAGTCTGACTGCAATGCTTTTGCTGTGTGTCCAGCCCATTACATTCTCCTCAGCCTGTATTCAGTGATATTCCAAGAGAATTCAAGCAAGCAAGGTCCCAAAAGGTAAACCCTTCTCCATAACCTTGAGTAGTTTTGTGTTTTGGCTTCTGAGCTAGCTCTGGTTATGGTGTCATGCTTCCCGCAGCTCCCATTGGCTGGGAATGGCAAACTGCAGCACTGAGAGCTGCGGGGGGCCATGTCTGCAGACAGTCAACATCAGCAAAATGTCTCGCAGCCCACAATCACCTTACCCTGATGGGTCACAGGTTGCCCACCACTGCTTTAGAGCCTACAAGTCAAAGCATGAAGGGACATATGAATGTTTAGCATAGCTGCCATATCTGCCATTTTTGTCAGAAGCTGGGAATAGGTGACAGGGGATGGATCACTTGATGATTACACTGGTCTACAATTTTTGAGAAGTTGTCTGCTTCAGAGATAAAATGTGCTATTTATTATGTATTTTGATGTGCTAAATT